GAAAAAAAAAAAAAAAAAAAAAAAAAAAAAGTGCAGGCTGTGCACTCTGCAGGGACAAGTGGTTGGGACATGTGTGGCTGCCCTCAGATCCTGGTCCACTCGCCTGACTCCCCTGGCAGTGACCCTGCCTGGGGATCCCCGTGGACCTCAGGTATTAGATTGTCTGTGGTTTCATCGCTTTGTTTTTGGCCAAGGATCCTTCTTCTGTGACCTAAACCACTCACATTCCACCCAGATCTCATGGGCTCATGCCATGAACTGCATTGGATATTGCACAGACCTCCAACCTCCACGTGTCCCTAAGCCCTGTGTCTCTCATGGACTCCTCTTCATTGCCCCTCCCATTTCACGGAACTCCTTGAGTTGCCTTTGTGTCAGGTCCCAAGGAACCTTCTGTCCACCTGGGGACAGACATCCCCTTGGGCTGGAGCTTCTGTCCCCTGAGCTGCTACCCCTCCATGTCCTCTCCTCTTCTTGTCCCTCCTGTGACATCTATTCCCATGCAGGGAACAGTAAGCCTTTTCTCCTGGGGCCCCCAGAAGGTTAGAGACCCTCCCCAACACCACAGGAAAGCCCGGCTAGAATAGGCAAGGACAGGGTCCAAGCTTGGGGACTTCCCAGGCAGCTGGCGGCCCCACACCCACCCAAGGGCAGGCAGTGGCCTCACTGGGATGGCAGAAATAAGCTTGGGGCTCTGCCGTCCCCAGGCTTCCCTGTCTTCCTGGTGACACTGGTGGCCCTGGTGGACGTGGACAACTACGGCCCCATCATCCTGGCTGTGCACAGGACTCCGGAGAGTGTCATCTACCCATCCATGTGAGTGGCTGGTGTGGAGGGTGTGGGGTGGGAGAGTATGGGCCTCTGGCTGTAGGGGACAGAGAGATACCTGGGGCCCAATTTGCTATAAGGATTGGCCTGGTGGTGGCTGGAACCCTGGGCTAAGAGTCATGCAGGTGACAAAAGGCCTGGATTGGCCACTCACGTGCCAGGCACCTGGGGCCTGGCCCTTCTTTGAGCTGAGTTTCCTCATTGGTGGAAGAGTAGAGTCCATGACTCCTGCCTTGTGCCCAGGCTGTCTGCCTGCCTTCCTACGCGTGTGGCTGCTCAAAGGCACCTAGTGGGGGGATGATAGGGCTGAAATTCAGACTTCATCCATTCCCTCAGTCCACCCAGCTGGTGCCAACCCTGTCCACAGTCCTGACTGAAACCAGCCTGGCAGCCAGGCTTCCTGGGCTCCGGACCAACACGGGGGAGTGGCTTCCCCTGGCTCTGTGGTTTTGGAGTTTCCAGCCCTTTAAGTCATTCCCTGTGATTTTCCTGTCCCTTACACTATTGCTAGCATTATGTACTTAATGTTTTTCTTTAAATCACCTGACTTGTTAATTTACATGTGCTTTTAAAAACATAAAGCCAACTCCATAAATACAGTGGTGGCGCATGCCTGTAATCTCAGCACTGTGGGAGGCTGAGGCAGAAGGATTGCAAGTTCGAGTCCAGCTCCGGCAACTTTGAATCTTAGCAAGACCCTATCTCAAAGTAAAACATTTGAAAAGGGATGAGGATATAGTTCAGTGTGGAGTCTCCAGGTTTGATCCCAGGGGAGAGAGAGAGAGAAAGAGAAGGTCGAAGGAAATGGGAAGTACATTCATAACCGTGAGTAACTGTCGCAATGTGTGGTGCTGTGGACTTGCAGCCCCAGCCCAGCCTTGTCTGAGCCCTTGCGCCCTGGCCCACAGGTGCTGGATCCGGGACTCCCTGGTCAGCTATGTCACCAACCTCGGCCTCTTCAGCCTGGTATTTCTGTTCAACCTGGCCATGCTGGGCACCATGGTGGTGCAGATCCTGCGGCTACGCCCGCATAACCAGAAATGGCCGCACGTGCTGACACTGCTGGGCCTCAGCCTGGTCCTTGGCCTCCCCTGGGCCTTGGTCTTCTTCTCCTTTGCCTCTGGCACCTTCCAGCTTGTCATCCTCTACCTCTTCAGCATCATCACTTCCCTCCAAGGTAGGTGGGGAGAAGACCCCCAGCTGGGGCAGCTGACCTGTGGGAGCACAGGGCTGGGAGGAGAGGACCTGAGGCTTCCTCAGATGGGCCTCAGTCGTGTTGTGTGCAGGCCCTGTGCTAAGTCCTCAGGCTCCAGCTGGGCGAGAGCCTGGCTCTCATGGAGCTCAGCCCTGGTCGAGGAGGTTGAGTCTGAGCCCCAAACATGCGACCTCGGAGAGAAGGGCAGTCAGAGTGGGCAGTGCTGTGGGCAGTGCCTGGGCCGGGGTGGGAATGCTTTAGGCAAGGTGGCTTGGGGGCCACTCTGTGTAGGAGACAGTTGAGGACAACAGATAGACCCTGCCACGGAGGGATGCAGAGCCTCGTTACTCCCAGTGGGCTCACAGGCCAGATCGGTGTTGCTGGGAGCTCCTTAGGAGTGTGATGTGGCCCACCCTGGACAGGCTGCACAGATCTGCATTTCAGCAAATGCCCAGGGCATTTGTGTGCACTCACAGCTGAGGAGTCCTGGCGTGGGGTGGGAGCTCCAGGAAGAGAGGAGAAGCACAAGCATAGGTCCTGAGTTTGGTCAAGGCTGTGTGTTGGGAGAATGGTGAGGAAGAGCATGGCTAAAGGGCAGCTTGTGAGGGGCAGGGGCAGAGGGCAGGATCAGAGGGGTCCCAGCTTGATACCAACAGAGTCCACCCTGTGCTCGGTCATCCCTCAGTTCTTTAGTTTCTGAGCTAGCCTGTTGTTCCCCCTGAAAGGAAGACACCCACGAGAGTTATAATAAAGCTCACACAGCCACCCAGACAGCACAGGTGTGTCACAGGGCACTCACGTGGGTGGGCTCCAGAACCTGAGCTTACTCCCACCTGGCTCAGCTAAGTCCCCTTCCCTGGACCCCCACGCCTGAGTTTCCTCTTCTATGAGACAGAGTCATGATGAACACGAGTAGGATCCTAAGAGGCCGTAGAGGATACAGAGGTAAGGATCAGGGATGTAGTGCAGCGCCTGGTGCATGGAGGCAGGAAAGGCTGGAGAGGCCTGAGGCAAGGTGGCTCTGGGAGAGGTGAGATGGGCTGGGTGGGCCTCCCACCTGCTGAGCCCGTGCACCTCCACCACTTCCTGCAGGCTTCCTCATCTTCCTCTGGTACTGGTCCATGCGACTGCAGGCCCGGGGTGGCCCGTCCCCTCTGAAGAGCAACTCAGACAGCGCCAGGCTGCCCATCAACTCGGGCAGCACCTCATCCAGCCGCATCTAGGCCACCAGCTCATCTGCCCCATGTGAGGACTTGGAGCTGCCCACAGCCCCGGGCCTGGTCCTAACTGGAGAAGGGCATGGACCTTGGAGAGCAGGGCTGCTGCCTTGGTGATGAGACCTGACCTTGGGGATGACTTGGCTCCCAGGTCTGGCCCCCAAAGGGCTCAGGTGTATATCACCACTCTGGCTGTGGGGACTGTCCCCACAGCCGTCCCATCCTGGCGCTGAAGCCTCATCTTTCCTGACCACACCATCCTTGCTGGAGGTTGGGACCCGCAAGCCTTGGGGTCAGGCCTTTCGGACTTGGAGGCCTGGCACATTCTTACCTCTGTGGCCCTGCCCAGGACAAAAATGTGGCTGTAACTGCTCTGTGCCTGGTGGTCACCATGTAGGATCCTGCAGCCCTGGTTGTTCTAACCCGAGGGGGCACCCAGGGTAGACTGGGAGGGGCAGAGCCTCCAGGAGGAGAGGCCCCTGGAGCACAGCAGCACTTGCCTACCACTGTGCCCAGGTCCTCTGTCCTCCAGCTCCCAGCCTTCCCTCTCCCTTCCCTCTCCTCCCTCCTTCCCTGTGATCACCCAGTCCTCCCCTGACAACTGAGTCCCAGTTTGGGGCAGTGGTTTCCAAGAGCTGCCTGGTACCTGCTGTAAACTTTGGTCGACTGCCCAGACCTTGGCCTGTCCCTGTTGGTCTCAGCATGATGCCTGGGCTGGGCCAGGTCTATCTGTCTGGGCCTCTCTCTGAGTTGCCTCACCCCTGCTCACACCTCAGAGAGGCCTCAGCCTCTCCCGAAGCCTACCTGTGGCCAGAACCGTGTGACAGAGCAGCCTAGTCTTGTTTTCATCCCAACACTTGGAAGGCTGAGGTGTCCTCCTCTGGTAACACTGGTCTGGACTTGACTCACCTAAAGGGTCATCTTTGAATCCTTGCAAGTAGCCGCAGATACACCCACTGCCCATCAAGGTGAATTCTGCCTGTGAACACACACTGGACTCTCGCCAGCCTGTGTTAAGTGTTAGAAACCCAGATGACCAGATCTGGTCTCTCCCCTTGCAAACTCTCAGCCTAGTATGCGAGCTCCAGGCATGGGTCTGGGCACTGCCATTCCTGGCTGGGAATCCAGGGGGACTTCTTGTGGGAGGTGGCATTGGATCTTGTCCTCAGCCATAAAGGTGAGGAGGATGTTTTTTGTAATACTTACTCATTATTTGTCTTTTGATATGAAGAGGAAGTAATGTCTGTTGTAGAGAATTTGGAGACTGTAGAAGATTGTCAAGAAGAAAAATAAAAATCAGCTCTTGTTATTGTCTAAGAAACCAGTGCGAGCATTTTAGAGCATTTTCTTCTGAGCTTTTCCTTGCGCTCCTATTGGAAGCATTGCTGACCCAGATCCCCTTGGGCCAATCAGGAAAAGCAGGGCTGTGTGTGTGGGAAGGGCAGCTGCTGGGAACCTTTCCAGCCTGTGCAATAGGGGAGGAGGAGAAAGGGCTGGGTGGTGTGGGTATCAGTGTTGGGGAGGTGACGGGGAGTGGAGTTCTGGTGAAGTGCAGATTACAGACCCCGCAAGGAGTGGAGCCGGTCACTGCTCGTGGGAAGAGGCCCCATGTAGCCAGGCTGTCTGCTCTTTCTGAGAAACACAGACAATGGTGTCAAAATCCATTGATTTAAAAGTGTTGGCAAATCCAAAACATTCTCTGGCCAAAGCACTCAGATTTGAGAGCTGTATGCGGCCCTTGGCTGGTCATGTGACACAGGTGACCAGGCCAGGGGCCAGACTGAGTGGGCGGGCTACAGCAATGAACCAGAGTGGATTTCCCCCGAAACTCAACCTTAACCTTGTTCTGCTAAATCTCTATTCCTGTCCTGTCAAATGGGCTAAGCAAGAATCTGTCCTGTCCAGGTCACCTTTGGCCATTTGTGTTGTGTGTAAAGTGCCACTGCAAGCTCCTGCTCCCATGCAGTCTTCGGCTCCTCTGCCGCTGCCCCAGGGGAGCTCGGACAGGGAAAAGAAGCTGGAATCCGGGCTTTGGAGGACCAGCGCCAGGTCTAAAAGCGATACTTCTACGTTGTTGGTGGGAATGATTTGGGGTTTTTTGTGAGGTTTTGTTTGTTTGTTTGTTTTTGTACCAGAGATCAAACTCGGGATCTTGCACTTGGGAGGCAGGCCACTGCTAAGCTAAATTCCTGGCAGTGAATGCCTGACAGTGGGAATGTAAATTAGCACAACCACTATGGAAATCAATATGAAGAATGCCCAGCATAGTGGTGCATGCCTACAACCCTAGAGGTCTGGAGCTGAGGCAGGAAGCTTGCCTTGAGTTCGAGGCCAGTCTGGGCTACATAGTAAGTTCAGTCTGAACTACACAGTGAGACCTTGTAACAAAAAAATAAAACAGAAATTAATATGGAGATACTTCAAATAGCTAAAAACAGAAATTTTATTCAACCCAGCTATTCCCCTTCAAGATATCCTCCCAAAAGAGTTAAAAGCATCACATTGCGGTGATACACGTATATCCATTTATAGCAGGACAGCTCACAATAGCTGAACCTTGGAAGAGCCTCTATGTCTGTCAACAGATGAATGGATAAAGAAAATGTGGTACTTACACACAATGGAGTATTACCCTGCCATAAATCAGGATAAACTTGACTGTCCTGGTGAAAGGTTGAGAGGTGCACACAGTGGCCGGCTGGGCATGAGAGAACACACAGCTGAGGTCAGAGTGACTGGCATCCAAACGATGTTCCCCAAGTCAAAACCTTCTTAACTGGAAGGCCAAGGTTACTTGCTAGCCACAACCTACATTTTGTCTGTTCTGTTCAAGGAGGTTTTGTCTCTTTTCACAAGCCTTATCTGCATCAACGACATATCCATAGCAACTCCACATAGTCGTTTTACCTCAATTTAACCATCACGTCTCCAAATAACTATCAGCATCTTTGGCTGGCCAGGAGCTTCGCTGATTAGCACAGGCCACCATGGCGCCCTGTTTTTCTCTCCATAGCACTTCACAGAATATGGGGACCTGCTGCAGCGGTCCCCTATGCCTATGTTCTAGATCTTTAAACAGTTTAATAAATCACATATTTTATTTGGTTTTCTCAAGGGCCTGTGATACATGCAATGATGATCAAATGTGGGGCACATCACACTAGGTAGGGAGTTGGGATAACAATCTAATCGAATGAGTAGAATAAGATGATTCTAATTAGTTTTCAGTAGCATGGTTTGTTCTATCTTCCTAAGAGATCGCTTTTACTCTTCCATGGAGAATAGAGTACAGCAGAGCACAAATGAAAGCAGACAGCAATGGTGGCTATAAATGGTACATATTTAAGCAATAGATGATACAGTCTTGGACTCTGGTTGCAGAAACAAATGAGGAAGCACTGAGGAGTTGAGTTTTGTTAAAATCCTCAGCCCAAATGGAAAGACAGTGACTTTTTGCCAATAAATATTACGTGTCTGAATATTTTTAAATGAAGCCTGTTTTTCTGCCATGAATCAGACATGATATACTTCTATAAATCTGTCAGTACAGAACTATGAAATGTGATCATTGGTGATCACTGGAATTAATAGCCTTTTGAGTGCCTCTCATATTGGAACACCACAAAAAAGATCAAGTGTTTGCTTCTCATCCTGTATTTTTACTATACCCAATTATTCTGTAATATTATTCTGTGCTTAATTTTATGTTTTACCTCACTAAATAGTAGTGATGAATAATAACATAGCCTATCTTTGATAAAGTACTAAAAACTGAACTAATGCAAGAAAAGATCTTAGAATAGAGTTTGACACATAATAACAATAAAAGACCACTTACTATTAGTGCCAGCTCTTTACAGGCAAATAGACTGAATAATGAAATAAGAACAATTTAAAGTGTTGACTCAAAAATATTCTTCAATGGAGGAAGAAAGGGTTGCGTATAATACAAATACCCCCTTGTAGGGGAAACATGTCCAGATGTTTATTACCTTTTTGTTGTTGTTACCAGAGGGATGATTTTGCTTTGGGATTGTTAGTGGCAGTTGAGAGACAAAAGGAGATAAAGCTTGAGCAAGTGATTAACCTGAGCATAGGTAGTCTTAGGCAGGCAGAAAATGTTTCTTCATTTAGTCTAGTAAATGTAATCATACCTGCACAAATTTTGAAAGTTCCAACTTCCGAAGCCTCATCCAGAAATTTATAAAGTAGAATTAGCTGTTAAGCTTTCAGAGGCATGTAATTTATGGTTCAAAATAATTTATATAAAGAATGAGTATCATCTTCTTTTCAAAATGGGTATCATATTCTTTTTTTTTAGTCTGGCATTGTGATAAAGCTGAGTTTAAAACAGTTCCTATTTGGGTCCCATGACCTTACGTTTTAGGTGCAGTTAGAAAAAATAAGAATAGATTCCTGACTAAAGGAGAAACATATGACACAAAAATTTATTTTAGAAGATTGGAATTTTAGCCTCTTGTTTAAAGGTATTTCAAATGAATAACCCAACACCCAGGGACTAGAGTGACATTACAGCAACACCGAACCAACAGTTAACCTAAGGAAAGTAAATAATAACAGCCTTGAATGGGAATCCTGTTTCAGAAAGAATGAAAGAACAGATAAATGGACACTGGAAACCATGCAGAATATGAAACAGATTTAAAAAAAAAGCTGTCTAATGAGTTTTCATTTCCTTTGCATATAAGAAAACCTTGTACAGTCTCTGGTAAACCTCTGCTTCACTAAGGTAATTTTAAATAAATTTCTATCTCTTACACTGACATGTTAGTTTTATATTGGTTAAGTATCTATTTATGAATGTTTATCTATGTTTTACATTATCACATTTCCACATTGGTGATGATGTCATGTCCTTAATGACTGTCTTTTAGATTCAATGCTTGTCTCAACTCAAGGTATGGCTACCTGGAAGTAAATCATTATACAACTGAATTTAATTGTCTTTACATGAATGCACAGTCTTTACTTCTCCATATTTCCTATTGTCATTTGTCATATCTTTCTAGTGCTGGAGGATTTTGATTTTGAATCCCTGTCTCTCTTTTTCAGAGCAACAATATCATTACTTATCTACTTAAGTAGATATAAATTAGACAGAAATTAGAGAATATTCAAAATTGTAGTCTATTTCCCACAAATGGAACAACACAAAGATCAACAAAAATGTCCTTAGTTGAATATTCAAAAGCACCAGGCACAAAATTACACAAAGACAGAGGGTGAGAAGGACAGCTTAACCGTGACACAATTTTTCTCTACAAACAGAAAATATATTTCTTCTTACTAACCATGACAATCAACTGGTATTACTTGAGATGTCATATGTAAGACTCTTGAGATCATCTATTTTCAGTGGACAAAACTAAAAAGAACAATTGAAAATATTTTCCATGCAGCGTTGTAACTAAGAGGTTCAGAGAGATAGTATAGAAATTTAGTTTCCCTCTGTTTTGATAGTGTATATGAGTTTCTTCCTCTTTCTGAAAGTCTGTGGATTTTCTTAGTGATTTCATGATTAAGAATAAAATCTTTAACATTGACTGTAAATCCTTGAGCAATGTATATAGCTTCTGTTTCTTTCTACTTCTCAAAAACCATCTCAGCAGAGCTAAGTCCCAGACACACTAGACTTTTTAGGTTTTAGATATCACAAAGCCTTTAATTCCAGGCTTCTTACTGCCTTGAATTTACTTTTCCCACTTTTTTTTCTTCTAGATAATTGTTACTCAAGTTTTAGATTCCAATGAAAATATTCCTTCTTAAAGGTCAGTTAAGTAAATGATTTAGATTAAACTGGTCTCCTAAAATGTCTGGGATTGCCAAATATTTTGATTAGCCAGTAGCTTTTTTGTCTGTTGTCTGTATTGTATTATAGGAAAATTTCTAAATGTAGGTGCACAAAAATACATCCCCTGAAAGAATAAAGAATACTTTATTTTTGATCTCTGCTCTGCGTATCTTTAATCCTAAGCAACACAAATTTCTTGTAAGTGTATTTATTTGATTTTCCAACCTGAGGCCAAAAAAAAAAAAAAACAACCAAAGGACACACACACACACAAAAGGGAACAGAGGAATTAAATAAAGAAATAAAAAGAAAGTTAATCATAAACATGTTTTAGAATGTAAACTCACAAAGAAAAAGGTTCTTGGTTTAACAATGCCTTTCTCTCCTTCTGTACATTTAATTAGAGAGTAAAGTCACCTTAATTAATAATAAAGTTAATATTGCAATAAAAGCCAAGACAATGACCATTATATTCAATGTGTTCCGGTTTACTAGTTCAGTAAAATATTTTTATTATTAGACAAAATAAAAATCTAAAATAAGAAAACAAATTGCAAAGATTATACTTTAATGGCATGGTTCTCAGAAATATTGAGTTAAAACATATATAGCAATAATAAATGATTTGAGAAGCTTTACTCCAAGGACTTGTACAGCTCTGGAAGTTCTTAAGATTCATTAAAATTTCAAGCACACAAAGTAGTTCAATTAATTGATTTTAGTGTCTTTTTCACTTTTATTTCTTGTTCTGACTTTCCTTAACCTGCACACTTAATATGCTACAATGGAAAAAGTTGTAGAAATCAAGATGATACTGTTCTACAGATATGCATAGAAATATTTGTATTATTTGCTTGTGTTTTCTTTTGATTTCTATGTCAGGTTTCACTATTATGACTGAGGAAAGCAATGTTATTATGTTTATTTTTTTCTAGATGTCCCTTCAAAGCCTCATGTGCTCCTAGGTGGGGCTTTTGGGAATGAATGATACTCATTACTGGGTGATACCCTTAAATGTGACGTCAGGGTTGAAGATGACTGAAGGAGGTGGGTCACAGGGGCTGTGTTCTGGAAGGCTATTTCTCCTCTCCTCTGCTCTCCTCTCATCTTGGCTGTCTGCTTCCCTCTGCCAGACCCTGGGCTATTTTTCTCCTGCCCTTCTGTCCTGCCTTGGAGCTGGCCAACAATGGACCGAATCCTCGATGAACTGTGAGCCAAAATAAATCTCTCCTCCTGAGAGTTCTGGGAGTGCTGCATTGTGTGTCAGTGATGAGAAAGCAACTAAAACAAATGTAGTGGTAATCTGATCCTGAAGAAATGC